ATCTGTGAATGGATTGTCTAAAGAAAATGTGGGAGCCTCGACGTCTCACAAACCTATGGGCCTCCACGGCCTGTTACAGGGAAACTTTCGCCTTTACCTTCAAAAGAGTTTTGTTGTGGGACGTGTGTGTCACTCTGTATTTATGGAAAGATATTATGGCACTGGACACACTCGTTTTGACATCCCTCCGGGTGATAAAGTTCACCGTCCATTAGTTGGAGATACACAATGTCGCAATCGTCATTATTCTCACAGGAATAAAATCGAGGGTTTTGCTTCAGGGGAAAGAACACAGAAACAAGAAGACATTAACTTACTGCCAACTGCACGCGGTGTAAACAAGCCAGCTCCCGTCCAAATACTTACTCACCACAGAGGTGATCAGACTTTAACCGCTGTATTCGTCATGATATGGCTGTTGGCGGAGGTAAGATGTCAAGGCTCCCGCGGCAGTGGTATTTCGCATTTGGCTTTGTCTGCCGCAGGGATTCTTCAGGCAGACCAAGGTAATTGCACTGTGGTGCCAGATGAACCCAAATGCAAGGATAAGTTAAAGTTTATGAAGGCTTGTCTAAAGTTTTTACAGCGAAAGTTGAGAGAAAAGTAATATAATGATAGGGCCTCGTCATAAGGTGCGTAGGTCATGTAGCACGAATGGGGGAGAGAGGAATGCGTATAGGATATTGGTACGAAAGACAGAAGGAAAGAGACTACAGGGAAGACCAAGGCGTAAGTGGGTGGACGATATTAGAATGGATGGGATGGTATGGATTGGATAGATCTGGCTAGGATAGGGACCAGTGGAGGGCTCTTGTGAACACGGTAATGAACCTTCGGGTTCCATAAAATGCTGGAAAATTCTTGAGTAGCTGCAGAATTGGCGGTTCCTCCAGAAGGGCTCAGCTCCATGAGAAAGTAAGGGCCGCGCCATAGCTCAAGCGGCTAGTCGCTGGCTTCCCATCGCGGAGGCCCGGGTTCGATCCCGGGTCTGGTCAAGTGCGATTTGTGGTGAACAAGGTGGCGCTGGGGCAGGTTTTCTCCGAGTACTTCGGTTTCCCCTGCCAATCTTCATTCCACCAATTGCTCCACAATCACCCTCACCTATCATCTGGGGCTGGTACAATAGGCCAGAAGTGGCCGCAGTACAAGGGACTTAGTCCCACCCCTCTAGCATTAAAAAAAATTATAACGATAGCCATTTTTCCACCAGGGAACAGCTTCGCCGGTTGTATGGAAAACCAGCAGTGGTCGCTGGCGTGGGTAACTTGCCTCTTCTACGAACTTTCTTGTCATGGTAGCCTTGCACATAATAAATTTAAAGACCACAGAGCTTAACCCTCATATACGTTACACAGTTTAGTTAAAAATTTAACAGTACACGATCTAATACATTCTAAAGGGTTCTGACAATTGTATATAACACACAGAATTACTGGGTTTTCGGACTTTGTCCATCTTCCGGTATTCTAGAAAACAAAAAAACACGACTTTGCGGAAACTGCATCTGTTTCCTTCTTCAGGTGAAGGGGGAGACACCTGCTTTGTAACGTCAACTTCAAACTATAGCTTCATTAACTACCAATCATAAACAGGTCTAAAGAATTTTGTGTGAATTGCAAAAACTCACAGAATCCTCGAGTCAGTAAAAATGTTGTGACTTGGGGTTATGATACTCCGTGCTTTAAAATGAATTGTCACCAATTAATTCTTTAAAGTAATGGTGCTCTCACCGAGTCTCAGTCGTTATAAAAAAAGCAGTAGAGAAAACCCGGAACATACAACACCTGAAGAAAGGTAATTACTGAAGTATAAAATAAACAAGAATAAAAGAATAAACACTGAAATGAATGATATGCAAAAAAAATATTACAAGAGTTCTGGTTTTAAGTCTGGGTCAAAAAAAAAAAAACATTCATCTGAAAAGGATGATACATAAATGTTTGTTGTGTTTCCACTGTCTCTTCGTTCTTTTGTTTGTGAGGTAACACTGACTCGAAGTGTTCTGATCAAATAATTTCGTGACAATGAAGCGCCGGAATCGCAGACCTCTGTATTGCCGATATTTTTTTTCTGAATTTGTCTCCGAAAATGTTACGTGTAGTGCTGATGATATTTTTCAGTCTACAACCTAACAGTGTATTAATTTTCTTGAGAAGATTTTTGTCATGGTGGTATAAAATCTAAGCAGCAGGTACGCCTCTTATGCAATGCTGATGGTAGTGATAAATCACCACAACTTGTAAACTTCACGTTGCTTCAAGAATGTCAAGATACTGCCTACAAGATATGAAGCTAATACAAATTCTTGGTTGACCATCAAAATATTTGAAGATTACCTCACACAACTAGACAGAAAACTGGGATCTCAAAAACAGTAAAGTCTTATTTATCATCACTGAACAGTGTGCTGCCCACCCAAAAAATATCACAATTCCCAGTATTTCACCCAGTTAACTATGCCGCCAAAATGACACCCACACACATACGCAAATCATTGTTTCTATCCGATACTGTTAATTGCAAGGCATGCGTTTGTCACTTCAACGCACTTTCATTCACCATGTTTATCATTTAAACAGTGACAAGAGGCCGTATAAATTGGAGAAGTTCATGCTATCAAGCAAAGGCGCCGATGATAAAGCATACTTACTAGTTAGGATGAGTAGTACATTCATATGTGACAGTTACATTTTGTTCTTTTACTCGTGTCCTTGGTATGCAGGAAGAAAACTTTCCATGCCACGTTATGAAAGAGTTGTTAATAAGCACTTAACATATTTGATTGCAGGATTTCTATTTGATACCATTTATTGACAACTTCAAAACACCATTCATTATTCTTTATTTGTACGTTTTCAGGAGTAGACATTTTATATAATTACTCATCTGTTGACCCTCTCAGTGAGCAAATGAAAAGTTATATTCCGCTGCTGACCAATACTACCAAGCAAATGTATTCATGATGTACAACACTTCCAAGTTAGGATAATGAGAGCCTTTGTCTGTAGCCGTTACATTGGGTTTCTTTTAATGGCTGCCTTGATGTGTGAGAAGAAAACATTCCAAACACATTATAAATTGATTTTTCATAACCACTTGCCACTGTCAGGAGTTGATATTAGACAGAGAATCTCAGCTGTTGACCTCAGATTTTACTGGGAATGTAATGACTATCTTAGATTAACGTTATTCGTTGAATACTGCCCACTCTATTCGTTGAGTCAGTATTTCTCTGTTTTGCAATTAAGACATTTAATTATCCAGCCATTACATTGCAATGTGAATAAAAGCTCTATCCTGCCTTGTGAACCGAATATTATTATCCATCAGCCATCAAACATTTGTTATAAGGATTTCAGATGGGCAATAAGAAACAGTCTTTTGTTACAAATGACTCCTTTTTATGTCAAATCGCCTTCATCTGCATTTTGTTGCTAGCATGCTCGCAACATTTCTTATATCCGTATGAATGAAGTCACCTCATGAGCAGATTGCATGTAAGAGCATGGCAATATTGTGCTGTTCTCATACGAAGACTGATCATATGTTATGTACGGCTTGCCTTCAGTCTGCTACTACCCATGCAATGTACAGTAATTCTCAGCAATGTGTTTATGTACCAGATTCCTTTGTTGAGTGACCTGGTGCCTATCTGTGGCCGGGTATTGTTGAGGCAGGAGTATGTTTTGGTTTCCATGGAAATGTGTTTACTGACAGTTGCCTAGGAAAAGATGTCTATTCTAGCTTTTAGCCATCATGTCACAACATCAATCACTAGACAATAAACAAGAACAAGTTTTACAACAACTTCTGAAACTATCTCTAACACAGAGGTTAATGGTCATATTACTTCAGCCCTAGTGTAAAGTAAAATATTCCATAAGAAGCCTGAAAAATCTCACAAGGTTAAGGTTAAATGTTGAATACTGATGCTGTCAAAGCCCACAAAACAGTTTCTGTAAGGTGCCAACTGTTTGTTTAGGAAGATATGATACCTTGAAATGTTCATTCAATAGATGTTCCAGAAATGAATAAAAGTCACAGTCACTTCAGATCCATCATGTAATTTTTTTTTCAGGGAAAAGTGGGATTCATTAAATCATTAGTACTAAAATATCTGCAGATGTCTGGTTTATGAATCACACCCATCACTATAAAGGCTCTCAGTGTTACATGCACTTTTTGTGGTGACTGCGGCTTCAGCGTTGAAGTACCTACATAACCGCAGAACTGTTAAGCCAATAATATGTTAGATTTGAGGTTCTCATGGTGGTGAGGAGAGGCAGCAGTTTCAACTGAAATGTTTGTGTAACTTGTCTGATATAGCTTGAACCACTGTAGACTGCTGTCTCAGCATGTTAACCCTTGGTTCAAATAAAGGGGGAAGATAACCTCTCAGTCTGCAATGTCCTAATCATCAAATATTGATATGCTTTTTAAAATATGTCACATCATCTTATTTATCTTTTTACTTAGTTCTGATTATATGCGGTAGCGTAGTTGGTTGAGGCACTATGCTACAAGCCAGAAGGTTGACGTTCAAGTCCCGATGAGGTCATTGGTTTTTTCAATTGACCTAATCCTTCCAGCTGCACTATGGCCCTGGGGTCAACTCAGCCTCTTAACAGAAATGAGTACCAGGAATATTCTTGGGGGTAAAGGGCAGCTGGTGCATAAGGCTGACAACCTTGCTGCCATCTATAAGCTGATTGTCTAGAAAATGTTGGAACCTCAACATCTCACAACCGTATGGCCCTCCGCAGCCTCTTACAGGGATACTTTTACTTTACTTTACTTATTATGATTAATGTAAAGGGTAGACTGAGCATATGGAAGGAAGGCAAGCATAAAGTATTCCAAAGCCAGACCAAACAAAGGGTCTACAGTGTGTACATTGACACGAAGAACTACATATATAAGCTTAGCTGAGCAGTGTAGAAATATATTATGAAACATGTTTCTATTTCAACTCTACTATCCCATTACTTACTCCTCAAATGCAGGTAGTAGGTAGCCTCCCATCCAATGGTTTTCAAGGGTTTTGTCCCCCTGGGACAAAGCAGCTGAGTTAACCACTAACCTTCACCTAGTGCCAAATATTATGAAATGCTGGAGGTACACCTCCACAAGCAGGTCAAGTATCATCACGAAATATAGTACTAATCCTTTACCTCTGTATATGATGTCAACTTGTGTCAAATGCAACAGGAAGAATGATAAAAGGGGAGTAAAGAATCACTGGAGTATTAATGCATCATTAACATAAGTCTTGTTTACAAAATTATTGTTAACTGCACCATATTGTACCACATACTACACAAATATAACACTAATCCATACATGGAAGATATGACTGCAACAGAATGGTCCAACACAACAGATTTGTTTCTTGAGATGGAAGCCTCATTATATTTCTTGAGTTCTGAAGATGTAAGTAACAATGAAAAATCTTGGACAAGCCCTTCAGTGATACTACATGTATGGACAAGCACCTCAATTAAGAGTCCTTTGACTATTAATTGCTATTCACACATTCAGGAAGAAATCTGTATGTAAATAATAAGATATTTACAATGTCACATTACAAATTTGTTCTGCGTCCTTTTTAATTTTCTGTGAACACTTGAGCATGATACACAAACTTTCACTTCATTCACACACATTCGCTGGCATACTTCACTATATTTTACAGATCTGCCTCAGTGCATGGGCTACAATAATAATAATATTAAAAACGAGTGTGCCATGATGTTATTGATCGAGTCCTGATTGAGCAGTGGACTCTTATTAATTATACAAGCCCAACTTGCTGGTCTATTTTGCTACCACTGTCTGTAGCACAATGCTTATACAAGTCCATATCGCACAAATGACAGTACTTGTACCTGCATTGTGTCCTGGTGATGTTGTAGGACCTGACACTCGAGTATTGGCCCGTACTATTTGTGAGTTCCATCGAATGGCATATTGTGGGAGAGTTCTCGTCATAGCTTGTAACCTGTAATAGGTAATTTATTATTATTAGGGGGTAAAAGAAGAGAACTGCAATTTAAAACTTGGCAAATATATGAGGGGGTACCCAAAAGAAACCGAACTTATTTTTTTTTAACTTATTTATTCAAATTTTAAGCACAAACCTTCAATCCCCTTCAAAGTACTCTCCACTTACACTAATACACTTGCTTAGTATTTTATTCCATTTTTCAAAACCCTGTCTACATTCATCTTTTGAGATGCTTGACAGCGCCTCCGTCGTTTTTTCCTTCACCTCAGCAACATCAGCAAAACGCTTTCCTTCCATGTCTCTTTTCATTCGAG